TTATTTCTTATTAAAATTATAAATTTTAATATAGAGAGAAAATTTTAATTTTTACTATGTTTTATTAGTAAATTTAGCCCCTGAGTCATTACTTTTGGTCGCCACTGTACATATATTAATTTTCATGCAAATTTAATTAGTTATTATTATCAAGTCTTTTAAATAAACTTTATTTTCATAATTTATATTTATATTGAATGAAAAATTAGATTGATAATAATTTGTATAAATTTTTCTTGTGTAATTTTGCAATAATATAATTCTATTCTTAACTCTGATTCTAACTCTAACCGAATTCTAACATGCTTTGTGCTTATCACGTGAACGTAAAATCGATCCTGCGCCCTGTCAATTTCAGATGATTGGTAATATTTATCAGATTGAGATTATATGAATCTTATCTAAGAAAATAATAGCGATAGATCTAATTTCGAATTTGTAATGCTTATGTGTTTTATCCATTATGTATTTGCATTTTTCGTTTAAATTATCTCCTTTTCTTTAGCTTTGTTCATATCCCCTTTATATAATAATATTTTAATAAGTATTATACACAAATGTTGAATTTAAATATAAGCATCGATAATAAAATGCCTTTGTTGTTTAGATCAATAATTAATACTCATTGATAAAATACACACTACCCTTTTTTTTCAGTAGTTTCTCCGAGAATACGATAGCTCTGATTTGGTCAATGATGTTGATTTGCCAATGCACATCATGTCTTTGATCGGTTAGAAGATCCTATTTCCTCTTGTGTCAAGAAAAGGCAAAAGTAGAAAATGAATATTTTCATACACGATATATCAGATATTCACGTGGTTTAAATGATTTCTATATATAGCGGAGAAGGATATGTACACCGCTAAATTAAGAAAATTTGTCGTTGTGAACAATGATATGTATATGTAATAAAGGCCAAGAAAAAGTTGTCATTGTCAATAACACAAACAAATGAAAAAATCAAGTTTTTTACGGTACACATGTACATCTATTTGCGTCTGAATGTTATTCATGTCAAGTATTACACGCATCAAGCAAAATGACCATAAAAGAAACAGAGAAATGCTCGACACTTTTTTTGTTCTCATCTTTCATAATTAATTAATTAATTAATAATCAATCCGATTGTAGTCGTCATAATCATAGATATGTCTTCCTCCAACGCGTCTCTTTACCATCATATATCAAAGCCGGCGACTCATATGTTACCACATTATGATGTGATTGTAGTAGGTTCTGGTTATGGAGGTGGCATTGCAGCTTCTCGTATGGCTAGAACTGGAAAACGGGTTGCATTATTTGAAAGAGGTAAAAAATATCAATAATAGTACAAATTTCAATTTTTTCATTGGTTTTATCTACTTAACTACACATAATCACTAAAATATCACGTGATCAAAAAGGTAAAGAAAAATGGCCAGGAGAATATCCAGAGAAGCTTATCGATGCAGCCAAAGAACTTCATATATCAAAAAATAATAAAGATTATGGAAACAGGGTTGGAATGTACCGTATTTATTTGGGCGACGAGCAAGATGCGGTTGTTGCAAACGGGTAAATAATAGTTATTTTTTTTAATATAAATTCCACCAGACTAATCACGTATATTTCTATTGATTTTCAGTCTTGGTGGGACTTCTTTGATTAACGCTAATGTTGCATTAGAAGCTGATGAGAATGTATGGAAAATGGGTGTATGGCCTGAAGAAATTAAGAAAAGCGAAATAAAAGAAGGTAGTAAAAATAAAAAGTTATTATTTGATTATTGATAATTGATAATTATTTTTCGTTACTATCATTTACTATCATTATAAAGCATATGATCGAGCACGTCACATGCTTCAACCTAATCCATACCCAGAAGATTGGCCGGAACTACCAAAACTCACAACACTTGAAGAACAAGCTACCTTACTGGGCTACAAAGATCATTTCTACCGACCACCAATCACCGTCCATTTCAAACAAGGTGTCAATAATGCAGGTGTCTACCAAAAAGCGTCTACTCTCACTGGCAACGATGTCACCGGAGTGAATGATGGCAGCAAAAACAGTACACTAATGAATTATATCCCAGATGCGTGGAACCATGGTGCTCATATTTTTTGTGAAATTGATGTAAAACGCGTGAAACAAAATAAGAAGAATGGGAAATGGACTGTTTTTTATGAGTGGTTGGGGGTAAATTTCAATTTTATCAATGTTTTTTGAGTTTGATTTACTTTGATTAATTATTCGATTATTTTCCCGTAGGATCCACGATGTAAATTTTGCTCAGATTTTGAGAATTCGAACTTTTTTGTTACAGCTGATGTGGTATTCCTTGCAGCCGGCACTTTGGGCACTAATGAGATTATGTTGAGATCCCGAGCTTACGGATTGAAAACAAGTAAAAACTTGGGTAAAGGATTTAGTGGAAACGGAGATGTAAGTGATATATCTAGATTTAATATTTTATTTTTATCCTAAATTTCAGATGTTACACTCGCACTTTTGATTCTTTTATTGTAGATTTTAGGATTTGGATATAATACCAATAGAATCTGCAATGGTAAGCGTCATTTCTTATATTGAGTTATTATTTAAAGTTACTATATATAAATTCATATTTATTTTAGGTGTAAGTATGGGATGCAAAGACCCACAAGGATTCCAAAAAAAGGTCGGTCCCTGCATCACCGGAATCATGGACATGCGGACACCTGTCGATAATGTATTAGACGGATTCGTAGTTGAAGAAGGAGTCGCACCAGCAGCAGTTGGACATATATTCAAAGCGTTAGTAAAAACGAGTAGCGCTATCAATGGCAAAAAGCCACCGGATCTCACATTTTCTTACAAAGTACGGAAAAACTGGCGCCAATTTTTGACTCCATTTTCTGGTCTCTACGGTGGCGCATTGAATCACACGCAAACATACTTGATAATGTCGCATGATGACGGTTCTGGAGAATTCGAGTTTAAGAATGATCGACTTCAGATGGGATTTAAAGGCGTAGGAAGAACAAGTCAGATTAATCATTTGAACAAAGTTTTGGAGGAAGCGACGCATAAGTTACATGGAACTTACATTCCTGATCCTATTTGGACGAAAGTATTTAAAAATTCGTTGGTGACTGTTCATCCTCTGGGCGGGTGTAATATTGGAAAAAATGCACAATCTGGCGTGGTTAATCATAAAGGGCAGGTAAATAACAAATAATTTTATCTTTAGTATTTATTTTTTGGTCTATATAATGGAAACTATCCATTATTCAGGTTTTCAAAGGAAAAGAAGGTACAGAAGTGTACGAAGGACTTTATATTTGCGATGGATCGATTGTTCCAACATCTCTTGGTGTGAACCCATTCTTTACCATTTCTGCACTTGCGGAACGAATATGTGCAAAAGCTGCAGAAGATTATAAATGGAAAATTGATTACCATGAGGTGACGAAACCAATAGATTTCGAGCATCCTTTAATAGTTCATGAAACACCGAAGGAATTGATAGAGCAAGGCACAAGATTTATAGAAAATGAAAAAGGAGGATTATTATTCTCGGAAGTGATGAAAGGGTATTTCTCGACGGAGATTACTGATTGTGAATACGGAGATGAAGCTTACCATATTGCTGAACGTACGATTAGATTTTTATAAGAAATTCAAATTAATTTTTATTTTTAATTAATAAATTAGCTAATATCGTCAATAATAATTTTAATAAATAGTTCAAGCAAAAACTGCAGACTCAACAATGTCATTCTTAATCTCAATCATCGCCTACGACGCCGAAACTCTAGTACGCATGGAAAACCATTCAGCTGAATTATTCGGAACAGTCACATGTCGTGCACTTTCGCCTGACCCTTTAATCATAACTACAGGCTCGTTCCGTCTACTGGTTGAAGATACGAATTCCGTGGACAATTGTAAAATGATGTACGATTTGGATCTGTTAAGCTCCGACGGCGAAAAATATAAATTTGAGGGTTACAAAACCGTGTCTAATGCACTTTTCCGTAAGGGATGGAGGCAAACGACTACTCTATACGTGACAGTGAAGTCGGATAAAGGTCAAATCGTTGGTCTTGGATTGTTGCATATTGGAGCTTTGGATTTCGCGACTACTCTTACTACTCTTAAGGTAATTTAGTGACCAATATATTTTTAGGTTGAATAATAATAAATTAATATTCTCATGTTAAATTAATTAATTAATTAATTAATAGTCAACAGCTCCCACTTTCCGGGGTAGATTGGCCAATTATAAGCGATTTATGAATTACTTCTGTGGTCGTATGTTAGCACATTATTGCCCGATTCTTCTTCCATTAAAATATCCTGAAGATGCACTGCCTGTCAAACCATTCAAAAAATTGACACAAACAGAAACTTATAAAGTCCATGCCAAAGATGGTGTTCAATCGTTGTTGACTCGATATAAGGGTAATGGGAAAGGACATCATCATTTAAAAGGACCCGTGCTTTTTGTAAGTTTTTTTAGTGAATAAGTCAAATAACTGAAAATTCAAGTTTATTTACGAATAAAATTTTCAATAACTACATTAGGTACATGGCGCTGCAATGACTCATGAAATGTGGACAACAAGTTTACTTGAACGCACGATAGTCGATGTTCTTATCGAAGATAATTACGATGTCTGGCTAATTGATTACCGCATGTCTCCATCAAATAAAGCATCACATGAGCAACATACGATCGATTCAATGCGTTTAGATATCGCAGCTGGTGTTGATAAAATTCGTGAAATCACGCACGTTGAAAAAATTGCAATTATTGCTCATTGTGTTGGATCGATTTCTACTTTTATGGGATTATTAGATGGTACCATAACGGGTGTTGGTTCTCTGATTGTGTCATCAGTAGTAAGTAGTAATTAATTAAAGATAAGCCATTTAGTTGAAGGATTGTATTTATTCAAATACGAACTTTTTTATTATCTAGGGGATGCATCCCACCCTTGCTCTATTCAACAGTGCCAAAGCACACCTCGGCTTAGCCTACATATGGAAATATATTCTCCGACAAAACTTTTTTGACATGCGAACCTCCAAAAAAACCGACATTTTCAATCGAATGCTCAACCAAATGCTCCGATTTGTCCCAGTTGGTCACGGCCAAATATGTCGTGGCGCGACGTGTCATCGGGCGAGTTTCGCGTATGGATTACTTTGGCGACACGAGCATCTCAGTCAACAAATGCACGATCACTTCGGTGATCTCAGCGCGCATGTTAATATGACTGCGATGACCCATCTATTATCGATTGGGTTGAAGAAAAAACTTGTTGATGCGAAAGGCGGGAATGTATATGTTACTCAAAAGAATATTAAGGAGAATTTGAATTTCCCAATCACTTTTATTCATGGGGATAAAAATGCTGTGTAAGTTGCTAGAATTCTGAGACTTATTTGTTTTATTATGTATCTATCAATTAATTACCTATGTTTCTTTTATCATGCAGCTTTAATCCAGTAGCCACAAAGAAATCATATGAGGTCTTACGAGAAATCAATGGTCCGGAATTATATAAACGCTGGGAGATTGACAATTATGGACACCTTGATATTTGGTGGGGCAAAAATTCACACGAAGATGTTTTCTTCCGTGTCACTGATCATTTACGAGATACCACAAGTCATTACGGGTATCAACCAGGGCATTTTCAGCGTTTAGCCGATAATATTATTCACCATGGAGATGTAAAATGATGTGTTATGATGTGTTTTCTTTCTATTTAAAATTTTCAATAATTTTGAACAAATTCAAAAAAATATGTATATGCTGTATAGTGTAGGCAAGAATTCTGGATTCTTTTACATTGTAATAATATTCACGTCTTATAATGAACTTAGTATATATGAAAACATTATAATGAAATATTATAGCCAAATTTATTTATTAATAATGAATAAGTTAATGTTTTTAAATATTATTATATTGTTATTCTTTTAGCATGAATATATCTTTTACTTGATTTTCTTCCACCATTTACATAATTTTACATGTTCATAATATATAGTACGTAACAAAAGAAACCAGAATTCTTAATTTATTTCATAAATATTTATTTAAATAACATAAAAATTTAAATATATATATTTGAGAGCATGATAAATAACTTTACTTAAGACTTATATTTTTAAAATTAAAAATTTTTAATAATAAGAAAACTTAAAAAAATCATTATAATTAAATTTGATTATTATTTTGCAAATTAATCTTAAGCAAACTTATTTATCAGATTATCAAGTATATATTTAAAATTTTATATAATTTAAATAAATATTCATTAAAAAATTAGAAAAATATTTTAAATTTTTTATAATTAATTTTTTTAAAAAAAATCTTAATAAAAAAATATTAATTAAAAAGATATTATTTATCAAGTATTACTATTTAATTAATAATTCTATTTATTTATATATAATATAATTATGTATAATAATATGATATAATAATTAGTATAATTTAATATAATATAATTTTATATAAAATATTATATAATTTATATTAATTAGATCAGATTAATATGAATCTTTAAGATTATATATATGCAAAATATATTTTAAAATTCAATAAAATACAAAGCTTTTTAATAAATTTTAACTTTAATAAATAGTTTTTTTATAAATTATTTTCTGATTTATATTAGAAAATTTTAAATATCTATATATATTATAAATAAATAATATATTTTAATACTATTTCAAATTATTAAAAAAAATATAAGCTATATAAAAATAAATCAAAAATAAAAATAAAGTTATTATTTATGAAAAAATTAAAATATATTTTATTATTATATTTTATATAACTTAATTCTATTAGAATTTTTAATAAGTTTTAATAATACTTTTATATTAATATTTATATCTAGTTTAATTAAAATTTCTATATGAATATCTAATAAAATAAGTATTATTTTGAAAAATATAAGTAAATAAAGAAATATAATTATTAAGATTAAAAGAGTAAGTTAATAATTATATAAATATAAATAATTTATAATAAATTTGATTAGATTATCTCTCTTTAGCTCAGATCTTTATTTTATACTATTTATATAATAGATTAGTTTCTGTATTACTTTTCTTAAAGATCAATTTCATTCTGAATATACAGATAATTATTCATATATTTAATATATTATTATATAAATAATTATTATATGTATCTATATTATTAATTTAAATAATTAATATTTTTAATTAGATTTTTTTTAATAATTCTTTTATAATTTTACTCACTCTTATTTATTATTATTTATATTATTATTTATTTCATTATTAATTATTGAATTATAATTAATTATTCTCTGGAGATGTAAATTAAGTTAATTAATTCTGTTTAATCTATATATATTTTATTTATAAATTATTATTAATTAATTCATATTTCATATTTATTTTATTTCTTATAAATAAAATTTCTTTATTCTGTAAATTAATTTTAGATCTGAATACTTTTAAATAATAAAAATAATTATAAGTTATAAAATTAAAACTAT